CCCAAAACCCCAAAACCCCAAAACCCCAAAACCCCAAAACCCCAAAACCCCATGAGATTGAATTTACTACTGTTGCATTTTATGAGATTTGAAATATTAATAATCATTATACAATAATTATTGTTATATTAGTAAAATGAAAACATATTCAGTGGTTAAATTTAGTGGACTGCAAAATCCTAACAAATCCCAAAGAGACCTCTAGAACGTCGACCTCTCTCGTCCTTCAGAGGAAGCCCGTAAATAAAACCTGGATAAGACTCGCCAGGAACTTAATGTGTCAGTATCTAAGAAAATAGAGCCAGCTTATTGCACTTCAGTCGCTTAGAAGCCTCAGAGAGATATATAGTATGTAAAGTACACTCCCTAGAATCAATCAGCTCATGCGCAATCGCAGTAAAGAATCATATAAATATCAACTATTTAAGAGGATCCACTAGAACCTCCAAGGTTTAAACATAAGAGAATTCCCAGACCTCACGGTTCACCTCCTCCAACAATAATGAGAAGCCCTCCTCGCAAGCTGACTAACAAGGACATGCAGGACTGGAAGGTACCTCCTTGCATTTCAAACTGGCAAAACGCTAAGGGATTCACAATTCCTATGCACATGCGTCTTTAGGCTGATGGACGTAATATGCAAGATACTTCCATCAATGAGAGATTCGCTGCATTTACTGATTCTATCATGACTGCTGAAAAGTAGTCTAGAAAGGAAGTGGAAGAGAGAAGCAAAATGCAAGAGACAATTAAAATGGCTTTAGCTATGAAAAAAGAGCAAGAAATCAAGCAAGCAGCTACATTAGCGCGAGCTGAGAAAGCCGGACTTATGGCATCTTCAATTTCCAAGTTTAATTCAGAGCTTAGAAAGGATACTGAAGATGTGATATCAGGCAAGAAGAGATCTCGAGAAGAAAAAGAGCTGGAAGAAGCCAAGAAGGAAAGAGATGCTCTTAGATACTAGAGAAAGCGTGAAATTGAGAGAGATCGTAGGATGGAAGTGGCTGGAAAGAAGAAGTCCAAGACTACTCGTGATGAGGAAAGAGACATTTCTGAAAAGATAGCCCTTGGTCAAGCTCAGCCCACCTCAAGAGAGGCAATGTTCGATCAGCGACTGTTCAACTAGGTAAGTGGCTTAGACTCGGGATTCGGCCATGATGACGACTATAATCTTTATGATAAGCCTCTCTTCGCAGATAGAACTGCAGCATCTATCTATAAAAATGTTAGAGAAGTTAATGAGGACGAGGACGATCAACCAGAGGGAGATGATAAAAGCAAAAAGTAGGAGGGAGGTTAAAAGCCAAATAGAGGATTTGAGGGAACCGATTATAACAAAGGTGCTAGAGCTAAGCCAGTTGAGTTTGAGAAGAAATTACTCTCAGAAGATAATGCTTTTTCAGAGGCTGGTCTTCATGATGCTCAAGAAGCAAATAAAAGAAGGAAGTTATGAGAAGTTAGAAAGATATAATAATGAGGTATGGGATAGAAATATACTCACTAATGAAATGAATGATTGTGCGATTCAATATCTCAATATACTTACCTGTAATGTTTTAATAATTAATTCTCAAAGAAATTGCTTTTCCCTACAAATAATCAAGTAATTCGAGATTCGGGGTTTTGGGGTTTTGGGG